TTTGCTTGCGATGGATTCTAGGAAAGTTCTGTGTCTCTAAAGAGAGGGTCATAAGCTGTCCTTTTCTGGGATATTGCCAAAAACCCACGGGAAAGACAGAGCATAACAGTGAGGGGTTTTATGCAATGGTTAGTCACATGTGGCTTCTGGGTCAGAACCTTGGCTGATAGAACAGACCGAGTCTGGCCCAAGTGCTCTCACCCGGATGGAAATGGGAATCACACGAACCCGTCTTTACTGGACATATTTGGACGTCTTCAACCACTCAATACATTAATGACCTTCATAAATTAATGTTTACAAAAGAATCAGCCCTTGACTTGGGGCCAACTGCTTTCTTGGGTTCAGTGAGTCTGAGTGCCTAATATGGAATAACCCAGAGATATTTGTCATTTAATGAATAGCAGCTACACTGCCTCAGGAGGCACAGTATGAAAATCTGCAAGAAAGAACTTTTGAGTTGATAGCTTAAAGAAGAAGAAAAATGCAAATGATGCAATGTGTAAGATGTCCACTTACTTTTATAAAATGTATGTTTCGAAAGAAATTCAGTCAGCTCTACGGATGAGGAAAATAAAATTTTGGGATAAAAAAGAAAAATATCTAATGTGTTGACCATGTGGGTGTCTTTAAAGATTATAACGGAGTTATTTGGAACCATTTAGGGAATGCTATGCTCATTGCCATATCAGCACGAAGTTTTCTTTCATGTTTGTCAGAATTCCAAGGGTGACCCACGGTCGTGTATCCAGCTGCCTGCTCCTCATCTCCTTCCTCCTTTCCAATGACAGGGTGCAAAGGGCTCAGAGCTCCGTGTACAGCAGCTCATTTCCCTTCTCACGAATGGGCCCTGTGATAGAGAAACATTACACGCCCTGTCTTCCAGTTGTAAAAGTTCTCCCCTCTTCACTTTTGTTTTAATTCATTCAAAACCATCTAGCTTTTCAAATTTGCACTTTTTTATTCTTAAGGAGACTTGCAAATGGAATTCCGGGGCTATGCCCTGGCCATGCACACCCTTGAACTTAGTTTCTTTCTTTCTTTTTTTTTTTTATGCTTGGTAATTTTATTTTATTTTATTTTTTTATTTTAAAAATAAAAGAATGAAAACATATTAACAAACAGACATCCATTTACAAAATAGCACAAGAACAATACAAGTAATACTGAATTACAAAGTGACAGGAAATTAACATTGCTTGCTGTATTATGTACTGATAACTTCAAAGTGGTTTCTCAGGAAAGCGAATATAGACATGAAAGATTGATCAAACAATTAATCATTAACTGTTCTGTTCAG